TTTTTTTTTTTTTTTTTTTTTTTTTTTTTTTTGCCTGTCCCGTTTGGTTCTTTTAGAATTATTGTCTAAAGGCGAAGAAAGATGCCCAGCGGATTTACTTTACCAAATGGACCATCCCAGTCTTGCCGTAATGATCTATTTGATTCATCTTTTATTGTTTATTTTATTTTTTATTTTCACTTGTTAGATACGGGACCGACTTGACTGAGGAAAAGAAAGGGGAGGATGTCTGCCAGGACAAGTAGCAGTTTAATTAAAAAATTTCTAGATGTCTAAAGGTCACCTCACCTTGAACATTTGAGACATTTGTACCATATGAAATACCACTACAGAGCCAATGATTCAAAAAAACACCAATAGTAACAAACCAATGCTATATTTATTATATCTAAGTCATTGTGATCCACATGACCTGTGTTGTGTAATAGTGAGCCTCATAATCATTGAAATGCTTACCGCGGGAGCGCTTTAATAATGCATCATCCTGTTAATAATGCAACCCCTTAGAAACCAAACACCAAACCTCACGAGAGAAAATGCTTTCTGCTCTCCTCTCTCTGATGCTTGTGAGGACAAACACTCAACAATAGTGTCACTGAAGCAATATTTGCATAGTGTGGGTCTTACTCATGGGACTAATTGTTTTTTTGTTTGTTTTGTCTTTATCATCAGATAGACTCACTGAGATGACATTACAGGTCACAGATCTGTCTCTCTGATACCTGAAGCAAAAAGGAATCTGTTCATATACTTAAAATGATGCTCACAGGAGAAGGATGTGCTCTTTGGTGTAACATTACAATTCATGGCATAATTTTCTACTCTTTTCTTTTCCTGACTGGTCTTTGTAATTTTTTCTCTCTCTCTCTCTGTTGCAAAAACAATCAACAGTAAAGTTAAATGATATTAAATGGAACTGCTAATATACTATGGAAGTTATGATAGTTAAGGGAATCCCAGATTAGTTTTGACCCCACTTACACAATGTACATTCCCAAATTTTGAACAGATTGTTTTATTTAATTTAATGTACTTAATGTATATAATTCATAAGACCCTTATGAAAAGGACA